GACGTGTATCGCAGACTCCTTCTTTAGCGGTGTTGTAGCTGCAATTCTTTTCGCGATGCTTTCTTACATACCCGGTGTTCGTTCATTCTTGGGAGGATTCACATAGAAACCGTGATCCAATTTTGCGTGTGTAGCATGAGCACATAGCAGCTACTGTTGGTGATTAGGACGAGATTTTTGATAGTACATGCATCATTAAAACTATTTTCTAAAGCCAATATTACACAAGAATACACTATTGTAGTTGCTTACAGACTACCGAAGTCGAACTTGAACAGCTGTCACTCTCTCGAGACTGCTTAGTCAACGTCGTCGTTGGTGTTGGTGTTGGCGGGATGTTGCTGGGTTTCCAACGCGTCGTGCATTTCGTCATCGTCGTCATCCTCCTCGTTCGTGTCCTCATCCATATCGCTATCATACTCGTCCTCAGTAGCCACCTCCCACACAGTTGTAAAAAGCTCTCCGTCGTCCTCGAACACAGGGTTGCCGTCCTCGTCAAATACAGGATTGCCATCTTCGTCGATATACTGTTGAACGACATCATCGTCTAGCTCAAGATCGAGCGCCATATCGTCGTCCTCGTCAAGATCATCAACCTCGAAATCCTCATCGCTGTCGGCCGACTCTTCACTTCCATCATCCGAGCCGAATATCTCCCTGAACGAAGGGAGTCGGCCGCCGCGATTCACGAGGCTGTGTTTCATGGAAAGCGTAAGACGTCGCGTCTTTGACTTTAAGAGGCTGATATCCACCTCGCTTAGTTGGTCCGTTTCAGCTTCTTCTCTCGCAAGCGATTCAGTCGTGTCTCCGTTCTCATCTGTCACTTCTTTCCTGATGAAACTCTTGAATCCCTCCATGCTCGCATCGTACAAGCATTCGATGATAGGAACGCGCTCTTTGTGCAGGTACGGTGGTATCAAGCCTTCGCTTTTGTGTAGTTCCAACGACATCTTCAGGTTGATGCCAGCCTTGTGCAGCTTGAACGCCTTTGCGTGGCGATTACGAAGACGTTCCTCATCGCAGATGTACTCATACTTTGCTGTATCGAGCCTATGAGCCACACGGGGCATAGTCAGCGCATGATTTACATAACAACGTTTTCTTTGTCATCAGAACTTACCACATGTATGATGATTGCAATAATTCGAGTGTGTCCAGAGATGGCAGAGCGGCGTAGTGATCAAAGTCAGGCGGCTGATCCCAGAAGTCGATCGGAACATCCCAATGCCGACGGATTCGAAGTGTTTCCAGGCTAGGGGGCGCCAGATCACGATTCATGATGATAGCCTGATGTAGGAAGGAGTTCGTGTCGCATTCAAGGTACTTCAGAAGGTGGAAATCGCGCATACCATCACCAGGTGGGCGTATGCTGCGGAGCACCTGAGGGCTTTTGTCAAGACGCCAGCCAGGGTTTAGATGTGTAAGGCTTTCCAGCGAGTGCGCGACTGCGGAGAGAGCCTCCAGTGATACGCCTGCGTCTTTGTTCAATAATGGCTTAGCCCGCCTTGACCGGTTAATGTTGAAGACATTCTCGCCCAAAGTCAACGACTTCAGACGCGCCGGAGTGCGAAGGATGCTGAGCAGGCTTTTGGACCGCAGTTCGCACTCGTCAAAAACAAGCGAGGTCAGAGGAGTCCTCTTCGTATGTGTCGCGAGCTCTGGGATTTCAGAGTCTGGGAAGGCCACACAGGAGACGTGAAGGTGTTTGAGTGCGGGGTGTCGGAAGAGGCAATGGAACCCGTCAAGGTTCCAGAAGTCGGTAGCAGTACCGTGCGAATGGATGGTCAGATTCTCAAGAAGACCTAACCCAACTGTACGCTCGAGATTCTTCCCCAAGCGCCGTTCAGCCGCGATCTTGTCCGTCTCTATCGGGCCATCCACGCAAGCTGTGTCGAGCGCACGGCGGAAGCGTTGCATATCGCCGTTGACCCAAGCCTCTCCACCATCGTTCTCCCAATGAAAGTTATCGTACGGGCTCTCAATATGCCACTCCCTCAGGTTGACCATACGAGCTACGCACTCGTTGAAAGTCGTCCTTATCTCGGCGCTGTCTTTTAAACTGTCATCTTTGTATGAATACAAGATCTTGAGTGTTTGTACGGCGCGGACGCGTTCGGGACGCGATGTGAAGGCTTCGATGATGGCGTGGAGGTTCTTTACGGATAGAAGCTCGATTCGCTTGTAGAGTCGCTCTTCTGCGAGGTTTTGCATATCGCGACATGTCCGAGCGAGAGCACATAGTGCCTTGTTGTTGCCTTGAAGATGATCGATTACGACGAGAGCGAGTTCGTTGGGAAGCGCCGACGTCGCCGTGGCCAGAAGATTGGATGTCATGATGCGCGTGGTACGCGATCGCGGAGGGTGTCGTGTCTCAAAAAGAAATGGCTCTATGGCAACGGTAGATGGTTTCGCTACTCAAGCCGATTGAATTATTAGACTATTGATGCCTAAGTTGTCTCGGACACAATTAGTCAATAATCGCGTGGCGAAAGGCGTTGATTCCGGGCCGAGAGCAAACACGTACTGCAGGCGATGGAAGGTAGCCGTGTTTGGCGACTGTGATACGAAGTCGTTAATCGGAGAATCTGTTGTGATGTGTGAGGAACGCGATTTTCCCACGGCGAACTAAATTATCAGATTATGCAGGGACGACGACGAGGGGCCGAGGCGGGGGTTGCAGCGCACGGGCCAATGACGTTGACGCGTCGTCCACTCACTCATCCACGCCTTCACATACACCTTCAACACCCCCAGATGGCCATCACCGACCCTGCCGAAGCGATTTCGCGCGTTCGGTTAGAAGGCGAACGTGTGAACACGCCGCAACTTATATGAGAAGCGCGTCTGAGAGGAAGAGCCTGGAGCATCGCGTGCCGGCAGCAATGTCGAGTGCATATGTCGAAATTTCACTGCTACGGTATAGTATACAGCTCTGCCCCTTTCTATTTCGTTTACTCCATGTTCATTCAGTAGGAATGATATTCATGCGGATGCTGGAGCCGGGGCGAGCTGTCATCTTCGTTCACGCAAATCTTCCTTTTTGATCCACGCACGCGTCTGCGACGAGTATCGCAATTTTTAATGTACACTCGCCGAATATCCCGGACAGTCGCCTAGTCCCACTCTCATCTCAGGTGCTCGAATTTGCTGTGTAGTTGGTTGCCTGGGCGTCCCGTTGTTTTGTTGGCACGACGACCTGACAGCTTTATTGTTTGCCTCTCCACCGTATTGACAGCAACTATCGTGTGCGAAAAGCCTGAACTGCATACGCGGTCACCCTGAGCTGGGTGAGAGTACATCTTTCGAACTGATTTCGCATATTTACTTGAGCGCACCTTGGTCTCACCTGGGTGATACTAGGCCACGAGGTCAGGCTTTACGACAACCATGGAGCCTCCACCAAGCCCGCTCTATCTCAACGCTAACGCGAAAGGAAAAAACAAACGAGCAGTCGAAGATGGTTCTCCAACTACTGTCAAGCTTCAGGATTCACCCAAGACCGAGAGTAATGCACCTACCGTCGTCCGCCGCCGCCAACACCGCCGCCACAATATTGCCGCTGAGATCTGGGGCCCAGACATACCCTCCACGCCCATACCCCAAACTTCCACCAGTGGATCTGCCCCGAAGCAGCTTTTCAGTGTCTACAAGGCCATCATCCGACACCCGAACCTCTTCTTCCAGTTCGCGCTCCGCCTACCTTACCCCTCCATCGTCGACCTCTACGCCATCGATAAGGAGTTCCACTACCGCCTGAATCTATACAGCGTCTCTCTAATCCACGACTACGCCCGCTACCATGCGCCTCTCGCAGGCCACATCTTCAGCTGGGTGCTCTACCCCCGTACATGTATCTCCGACCCCATGCTCAGGCCCATGGACGGCCGCGAGTGGCTAGCGCGCGACGTACCGGGCTTCCGCTGGGTCGGCATGATAGTCTATCGCCAGAAGGTCGTACGCAGCATCCTTACATACATGGCTCTGGAAGGCCATCGGGTACCGGAGGCCTGCGAGGGCGCGCTGATGAAGTACTGGTGCGTCATGGAGCTCAAAGAGTCGAGGACGCGTCGCTCTTTCCTCGAAGATGTCGATATCTGGACCGATGCCGATCTGATCAACATTCAGCTCTTCTTCATGAAGCTCGACATGCGCTTCTCCGACCCCATCTTGGGCAACGGCGTCTGTCAACTAGGCCCCATGTTGCTCGCCCAGAAGAGCTTGACTCCGCTGTGGGAGGCGCTCAGCGGCAAGATGAAGTTCAACTACGACACAACCAGTGCGATGGTCGTCGCGACATACCTCATGGACGATCTGGACTTCGAAGCCCATCCCTGGCTCGAAGACGTAGAAGACCATAGCGTATTGGAAGACCAGTGGGGTCTGCTGAGCCTGGAGGGCTGGAATGAAGATGGCAAGAGGATGCCGCATGCTTTGGATCTGGTCATTGCTGAGAGTATTAGGAGGGGTCTGGATGTGCAGCAGTACTATTTGGACTTCGTCATGTATGGGTATGGGGATAGCAAGACTGGAGAGAACATCCCTGTGCCGGTGCAGTTGAGGGGAGACAAGAAGGTTAGGGTGCCGAGTGAGGGCTGGCCTTCCAAAGAGATGAGGCAGAGCACGATCAGGAAGCTGGATGCTCGCTTTGGGTCCAAGAAGGCTGCTGCTGGGGATGCGATGGACTTGGGCGCCTGAAAGCTGCACAGCACGACACGCTGGTCCCGCTTATGAGCTACGTAATTGCTTAGCATAACCGCAAGCTCACGAATCCTTCTGAGTAGAAAAGTACTCGACATGAAGGTTTTGTATTCTTGTGTGACTACTTTGCAAATGCGAACATGTTCAATCCACGCAGTTCCCTCGTCTAGCTACTAAGTTTCCTTTTCGCGTCGAGATTATGTGGTTCCGTGGGCCTCCTCACCATGCCAGCTCTCATCATCTGTCTGACAAGCGAGCGGGCGCAGATGAAGCTAACTTACTTGCGCCGCCTTTCGCACTACTCATTTCTTCGCCATCTTCACCGCCATGTCCATGATGTCCTGCAACTTGACCTTGCCTTCATAGCCCTTGGAGACCATCTCGGTGCACATGTCCTGCGCGCTGCTCATAACCCTGCGCTTCTTCTCATTGACGTCAGAGATGTCGAGGCTGAAGATGGCTTCGTCGGTGGCAGTCTTGATAACGGCGATGTAGTTGAGCATGGGTGCCAGAGGAGTTCCAAGTTCGGAGGACTCGCCGTTGGTGGTGTCGACTGGGCGCTCAGTCAGGGCTGGAGAGTTAGGGCGAGTGGTCGATGGGGTTTGGATGCCGATAGTGGAAGCGTCGTCTAGCAATGGTCAGTTGGGGGTTCTCAAGTGCAGCTAGATACTCATACCGGTGATGTCCAAGCCCTCGAGCTGCTGTGAGATATCCTTGTCGCAGGTTTGGACGGAATGTTCTTGCCATAGACCCTTGAATCCCAGCGCGAACATCCTCCTCGCCGGGTCTTCTCGCGCCCAGAGCAGTTCGGTCAAGAACCTGCGATATTGGAGCATGTAGACGTCGCTGAGACAATACTCGCAGTCTTGCGAGTACAACTTCTCAGTGATTAAATACTGCTTGAGAAGGATCGAGTCTCGACCCAGGAGGAGACCGTCGTTGTTGACCTTGAAGCCGCTGGCGAAGAAACCGGGCTGCTTCACCAGATACTGCTCAAGAATTACGACCTTCTTGGCATCGAATAACGGGGACCGCTTCAGCCAAAATGATGCAAGCTCAATTTTTGCGCTGATACACTCGTGGCACCTCGAGTGCTCCTTCTGTATGACTGGCCATGTCTGCACTTGTTCAAACAAACTCTTGCCCAATGCGAGTTCATCGCCAACTTCTGCTGTGTCTCCTCGGCCGACACCCTCAAGAATGGCGTGGTTGACGGTGTGGAGGATGTAGTTGCAAGCTACTATGGTTTGTACGGGAAAGAGGACGAAGGAAGTCATGTGCGCAGTATTGTCGTCCATACTTGCGGGGTGCGTGCGATCTCGTCGTCGGCGATTTCCAAGGGGAGGTCAAGATGCGGAGACGGAAGTCGCAGGCTGCAGTGATTTCGGAGTGGAGCACTACTCAAAAGAGCAGTCGCGATTTCTAGGGTCCTGCGAGGTTTCACCTAGCGGTGAACACTAATTGGGAAGTCACTTCCGGATCGAGCGATCGAGCAGGAGGTGGGAGGTACCATACCGGTACTCATCATATTGCGCTATCGACGCGCTGGCCTAGATCGCTTTGCCTGGCAGTAAACACTAATGAGGAAAGCAGCAGCCGGGAAAACATCACGTATCGCTTAAGAACAATACAAAGGCAGTTGATCGAGATGTAAGCATCCTGGATCTGGCAGCGCCCTCCCATGTTATGTTTCACTACAACTATCAAGTATGGAATGATCTATGACTACTTCTTGTTCCACCAGTAAGCTTATGGACGCTCGGTGAGAGCTGGCGAAGTGGTGCGAGTGGTCGACGGAGTGAACATGTCAACAACGGACTCAGTGTCTAGCACGGTATCAGATATAAGCTTGAAGACCGGAAAGAACGTCTACGTACCGGCGAGACTGACATGGTCTGAGACCGGGTCGTTCTGGACTTGTGGAACGTGTTCCAAGTAGGTTCCGCTGAACGCCTTGCTGAACATACGCCCGAGAGGTTGCTCCCTCGCCCAGGTCAGTACCATCAAGAAATTCTCGAAATTCTGCATATCTTGATCTTGAGGGCCATAGAACTCCAGTTGGTCGAAGTTTTTCTTGTAGATTAGCACCATTGCGCGCTGCTCCAGAATGATGAGCTCCCTCCTCAAGACGGTACCATCTCCACGCACAGCCAATCCGCTGGCTGAAAAGCCTCGCTGGGGTTTCAAGTACTTCTTGAGGTTCTTGCCATGCTCTGCGAACATTGCAGAGAAAGCGGAGCGCTCAAGCCACTCGGTCGCGTTCTCGACGAGCCTGGTGATGATGTCGTAGATGCGCGATTGCTGTTTAACAATGAGTGGCCAGACAGTGTGGCCAGAGTCGAACACCTCTCTTGCTTGGCGGTAATGCAAACTTAATGCGTCGATATCTTGAGAGCACAGAACCCTCCTAGAGGATATGTTACGGGTGATAATGGAGAACACTTCATTGAGAATGCATCTGCAGGCGATAAGAGTCTCGATGGGGATGATGGCGAAGTCCATCATCTTCTCTGCGGACGCGTCCATGGCGGGGGTGACAGTGTGTTGTGCGCGGGAGTGAGGGAGTAGAAAGGAAAGATCGAACAACATAATTTATAAGCCCTGATATGTGTGCCGCTAAATCAAACGACCGTCCAAACCCGCACGGTCCTGCACCGGCAGTCAGTGAACACTAGCTAGGTGACAAGGAAAGCAAGGGTCTTACTGACCGGCTGGCAGATTAGAGAGGGTAAGTCGCACACCGCCAGAGACATCTCACTGTCTGTTCGTTTTCGAGATAAAAGAAAAGTTGAAGTCCACAAGTGAAAATTGACTTCAGTATTATGACATTGACTTCATCCGCAACTGGGCTAGAACCCGATCTCCTTTTGCGATTAATCAAGACTACCTAGGTAACCTGACTTGCTAGCTCTACCATCTGTATCCCGGTGGATTATACTCGAAGGGATCAGGTGGAGAAGGGACGTCCAAATGCGGTGCACTGATATACATGCGCTCTCGTGGCGCCTTCTCAAGCCAAGCCAGCATAGTCAAATACTCTCGATACGCTTTCCCATGTTCTTCAGAACACAAGTCCTCGACCGAAAGTGTGCAGTCCAAGTAAACCTGAGGTACCTGCTGTCGAAGCCCAATCCTCTCTTCCCTCATTTGTAAAAGACCACCATTATCCACGATATAGCGTCTCGGTTTGAAGGTGATCGGAGCTTTGAGGTAAAGTTCCAGATCGCTGCGATGCTGGATGAAGAGCGGGGAGTTGTCTAGCCACATGCGCGCCTCCGCCTCTATCTTGTGTATGTTCGTGGCCAGGGGTGCATCTCGATCAACGACCAGAGGCCAAGTGTACTCATTTTGGAGGATCTGTTCAGCTACGGAGTAAGAATCATACAGCGTACATTCGCTTGGGTTCTTTTCGAAGTGGTCTTTAGTCGTGTTGTTCAGAATGGCTTCTTTCGCGGCTCTAAGAATGGTATCACAAGCCACCACGAACTGTATCGGGACGACTGCGAGTATGACATGGTTTGGGACTTTCGGTGATACATAGGGCGGGCGTTCGTTGAATCGAGCCGCTGAACTCATTGTCGTGTTGATGATTGGTGTTTTGTTTCGAAGATGAGAGGTCAGGATCCGAGAGCAGCTCTTATACATAGCTGAGGCGGTAAATCAACAAGCAGTTTGCGGTGATATGATGGAAAGGTTACACCTCCATGAGCGCGAAAAGCAAATAGCAAGCAAGAATAGGCATCTCCCAACGTATACCCAACTCCACAGCTTCTCCACATCCCCCTCATACCCCAAGCCTACCGCCCCCCAAACCCCCTTACCTCCTCCCTCACCGCCAAAGCATCCAACCCCATCCGTTCCATATCCTCCGTAATCTCCCTAAGCACCACCTGCCACGGCACCGCCCTAGGATCGTCTCTAGGAAACCTCCATATCATCTGCATAGCATGTCTCGCCTCCTCAAACCGAGGGTGTTGTTGAGCATACTGAGGAAGTTGGGCGAGCCTGTTCGAAACATTTCCACTGTGGTGTGAGCCCTCGAAAGGGTTTACAGGTGCACTCCTGCTGCGGGAGTGGCCTTGGCCGTGTCGGCGGGTAGGTGCAGATGGAAAGGAAGGAGAGGGAGGGTCTCTTCGTGGGTCGGGGGCGAAGGAAACGTGTCGCTGTGGTGGAGAAGAGACTGGTTGGGGGAACGGAGGGATAGGATGGAAGGAACGCGGTCGCTGTGGTGGAGGGTATAGCATTCCGGGATGAGTCGGAATGGGTTCGTAGCGTGAGCCATCGATGGGTATTAAACCATCTGGCAGCATTGGTCGATTTGGGAATCGAAAGTCGTCAGTATCGTGCCTTGAGCCGCTTCCGTAGCTTATCTCTCGAGTTTTCCAATGTTCAGCTTCATACGTCGACCGTACCGAGGCGGGGGAGGTGTCGGCAGGGACGGTGACTGTATAGCGTTCGCCGGTACTCTTATGACGAACGTGGTAATGTTTTCCCATTGTGTTTTGCTATCTTTTGGTAAGAGCTTTGTCGAGTAGAGTCGAGGGTAGGAGTGGTTGACGTTGCGTGTCTAAACAGTGCTCGAGTTGAGGAAAGTCTCGGTTTAGTTCGAAGAGGCCTCGGTAGGAAGGATGAAATCGAGAGAGGGTGTGCCGATGGAATGTAAACTTCTACTCCCGTGGACTGAGGGGAGTGGCTGTTCGGCGATGGCGACTATTAGAACGGCGATGGCTAACTGCAGTGAGTGAAGTGCTCGAAGAAGAGGAAGTGAACTAGAATGTGAAACGGAATGAAGAGATGATGTGAAAGCAAGAACAAGCGAGACGATATCGTGCATCTATGCTCCTCTCAGTGATGGTAATAATATGAAGATTGGAAGTGTACTGAGGAACGCTCTTGCCACGAGATCCTGTGACCTACGCCAACAATGCTAAAACGACCCTGGATATCCAAGCACCCGAAAACGCCATGTGAAATGCAGGAAGCAGCAGTTACACAATCATCTAAACAACGATACATCATCTACGCAACATATAACTCAAGTCTGGTAGCCCAGCCAGAATACTCTTGATAACCTGTTCTTCATCGTTTTTCCTTCGTTGCGCAGAATTCGTAGCTCCAGTAAGCGGCTGAATAGGCGGAGGTGTTACATTCCGCGGAGGAGACCGCGTGAACGTCTTTGCCGAAGACGCAGCACTGCTCGGCCTCGGAGGCGTCTCGAAGACGGAAAAGGGATCTGACGGATCGCGCGTGGCTGGCGCAGACGCTTTCGTGGCAGGAGCAGATTCAAAGAAAGAGAAATCGGCGTCCGCCCAAGCATCTATAGTGGGTTCATCTTGTACTATGGGTGCTGAAGGCGGAGTGCTAGGCCTCGCAGGTTCCGGCTCATGTGTATTGGACGTGAACGCAGAAAAGTCGTCATCTTCCGTGCTGTTTGTGACAGGCTCTTCGACCTTGATCTCGTTGATAGCGATTTCGGTTGTATCATGCGCTTCGTGCGCCGACAACACATCAGCTTTCACTTCCTCCTGTGGAATGACTTCTGAAATCGGTTTTGGTGGAACTTCGACTTTGCTCTTCTCCGATGTGGCAGAAACAGAGCGCTTGGTGGGTTTCAAGAGTCCAGGCCCAATAGGTCCTTGTTCAGCGTGGAATGGAACGAAACTTTTCGGACCAAAGATCGCTGATGTTGGCGATATGGTACTCCGCAGGCGCACGATATGCATCGCTTCGGCTGAGCGGTCCTGGGTCGGGGGAGTCTTTGGTGGTGATGCTGAATTTGACACGGCGCTGTCGAGCGTCGCTGGTATGGAGCTTGAAAAGGCCGAGGGAAAAGTAGATACTGTAGGGCTTGATATCATCTCACCCCAATCATCGTCATCTTCTGCAGGCACATCCGTACGTTGTTCCTGATTGGAAGTGTTGATGTCAAGAGCTGCGATGTCTCCCCAAGGACTTGAAGAGGTTGCGGTTGGCTCAGGAGGTGGGATTGCTTTCGTTGCGACAACCGGCGTTTCACTCGGCGTTTGCCCTTGTGTTTCCCCAACATCGCGTGCCAGATCAATTGAAACTGCACGAAGCTCATTCGCCTGTGTAAATTCGACAGTATTATGCTTAGGCGCGACAGGCGGGATTATGGGCGGTAAACCGGGACTGTCCTGCTTCCAAGGGTCCACTGTAGTAGTGGGAGAACTCCAGTTGAACGCAGCCGGGGTATCGGTGGACACAGGAGGCATGCTTTGTCGAGCTGGTGCAACTTCAACTGCTCGTGGCGTAGGAATGGTAGTCTTCGTGCGCATATGCCCTCTTGTTGTCTTGGGCTCCAGAGGCGCAGGAGTGTCCCAGTAGAACGAAGCTCTGGCTCCTGGACCTGTGCCAGAAAGGCGGTCTTCGCGTGCCCATCTTGCTACGGTCTTGTTTACTTCCAACCTGACTTGAGAGCCTGCCCATGTGACCCGAATGTAGTTGTCGTCTGCATTCCCGCTGTTGAACTCCCTCATGGTCTGCTTGCGTGTGAGCCTGTACCAAGCTTTGCGCCCAGATGTTGAGTATATAGGATCATCTGGTGCCTCCTCTAGTTCCCTTGTATCGCCGCTGGAAGGAAAAAGCTCGTTGAAGAGGTCTGTATCGAGTTGGTAGGCATCGGCGTCGTGTGAGGCAGTAGCGGCACTCGAACTGGCTACTGGCGATCCAGAGCGGGAAGCAGCTAATTCTTCTAAGGTCTCCTTCGAGTCCGCTTCAGCGCTCTGTATAGTTTCTGGCAGACCAGAAGGAGCTTCCGTCAATAGAGTGTCTTGCGTGAAAGTCCCAAACTCATCGTCTGTGCTGTCGCTACTCGAGCTTGAAGCATCTACGTCACAGTCCTCATGGCTTGCTGCCGCGTGTACTTCCTCAGGACTCGGCTCCTCCACTGCAGTATGCAGCCTGCCCCCAGCCTCTTCTTCAAATGATGTTCTTGGCGATTCGACCGGCGCTTCGGTGCGGCTCGTCTCGGATGGGGACGTGGAAGGTCGTGCGGAAGAGTCATCGTCGGGCTGTAATCGATTGGCAGGAGCGACCGCGTCTTGACTGGGAGACCTGTCCGGTTGTATCGTAGTCGACGTGTCGGAGGTATCCGAGGTTACATTGTCCACATCGGAATTATCTTCTTGTCCAGCCCACGCGGCTTCTGGTGTCGGCGATGCATGCTCGCTTTCGTCTTTCAAATCCCATCGCGGCCCATCGTCAATCGCCCTCTCATTCTTCAGTGGGCTGGGTTCAGCTGTGCGCGTCTCCGTGAGAGTAGTTACAGCGGCATCATGTCCAGATGACGTAGTCCAGTCACCAAAGCTCTCGTCCTCATTGCCCCATCCAGCATCGTCCAGAAAGCCATTCAAGAGCACCGGTGCAGGCGCAAGGGTAGGCGGCGGTGGTGAGGTCACCTCGTGCTTCGTCGGCGACTTTTGTTCGTCGGCATTGTTGTCTGCCCACGGGTCGCCCCAATGATCCATGGTCGGGCTGCCGCGTCAAGCGTCATAGTGAGTCGCTTC